TGTTTCTCTGAGTGCGTATGCTGATGTGTGTATGTCTGCCTGAGAAAGTCCTGCACACACACACACACACACACACACACACAGCATTTGCCTGAATATAACAACAAGCCGTTCTTAACGATAGTTTGACACATTCAACACATTTATTACTTGCAACCATGAGCCTTTCAACAAAAAAATGATGCATCTGACAGGTCTGGCGTTCTGACTGCCATGTTATTGTAAATACTTTAAGAGAATGGTATGTTATTTTAAGTACTGATGCCACAAAATGTCAACTTCAATGCACATTATTGCCTGTTTAGCAGCTGATGTGTGGGAGTTGGATTTTAACATTCAGGTATGAAATCCTCTTGTTTAACTCATCAATCTTTTTTCCAGTGAAGATTCAAACATAGGGGGATGTCTTATTTCGGTGGCGTTAGTAATATTTTCCAATAAACAGGATTCATTGCAAAGTTTATCTGCACTTACCTACATCACTGCATTTGGCCCACATCACTGCACCAAGTCATTTCCAAGCTCACCACCAATCCCAACAACAAGATTTCAGTTTTAGAGTTCATTCCACTGGGCTGATGGCTGACTTTACTGAATGTCAAGTTATTCTAAATATTGGTATCAACCACACAGCCAATTCACCATTCAGTATTTGTGTTTAGGTCTGGGTTAACTGGATAGGGAACGCAGTGCTGTTGAAGTGGTTTGTATTAGGTTACAAAACATTGCCATTTTACTTTGCCTGGTATTTATTATAACCAGGTTAGACCCATTGAAATGAAGGCTCTTGTTTGTCCTTGCTATGAAAGAAGCTTTCATAAAAGTTCCAGAACAGCTCTTAATAACAGATGTATTGAAAAGACAGTCAAGGAAGATTAAAGGACTGAGAAAATCCTGCCTCTAGTGGTATACTGTATATACCTGCAGATAGTTTGGGTTTTATGTGTCCAGGTTTTGAGATATCTGTCTCTGAGATTTTTACCTCCACCCCAAAACAAAGGTGATGTGTTTTGACATTAAATGAAGGGCACAAGGAACAAGGTCCCAGTTCATCTGATTAATCCTCAGACATCACTATGAGGATTTTCCATTGGAACTACTTTCTACTGAAGAAATAGTCCCTCTTACAACGGCTGACCAAAGCTGCCAAAATTGGATTACCAATCAGGCAACCAGAATCTCAGGGGCTCCAAAGGCCCCAGGTAGCCTGTTTGTCAGTAATTTTTGGGTAATTTGATTAATTTGCTTTTTAATATGCACCACTAAACATTCATGACAGATGAGAGGATGAACCCTACATCATTTTATGATCCCCTGACCATTTCTCTAGCACCGCCATGAGGTTGACGTTTGAGGATTTTAAGGAAATGTCTCGTCAAATATTAGATAGATTGCCATGAAATTTGGTACCAGCATTCTTGTTCCCCTGAAGACTGATTTTGATAACCTTGGTGATCCACAGATTTTTCATCTAGCTCCGTCATAAGGAAAAAAAATCCTATTTGTCCCATAGAAATATCTGCAAAGCTAACGACATCCCCCTCATAAAATTAGTAAATGTTAGCATGCTAACATGCTAAACTAAGATGGGGAACATGGTAAAAAAGTATATGTGCTACATTAGCACGGTTTCATTTTCATTAGCCATGTTTTCATCAAGGTATTATTGCGCATTTTTAAGTATCGCATCAGAAAAGTTTGAATGAACTTTTACACGTGCTTGAGGTGGTTTTTGATGCCATTCATGGGGCGCCTAATTTGCATTTTATTTTTTGTGACATTTCAAAAGTGAGCCACAAAATCACTTGACAATTAAATGAAAATACAGTAATTGTGAACATTATTCACAGTAGTATTCTGACGCTAGCAGTTAGGTAGTACAGCCTCACATAGTCACAAGCATGTTTTTTTCACAAACTAAGTGACATTCAGAAAACCTGGGTAGGCAGAATTTGAGCATAGAAAAACTGTAGGGGTGGGGCTCACTAGGGGCCCACTGTTCATTTTCACCTTAGGGCTCCCTAAAAGGCTTATCCGGCCCTGCTAACAGAATATTGCTGGTGATTTTGAGTGATGTCATTTTCACAGCTGTGAGCACCACAAACAGAATTCCACCTCCTTGGTTGTGCCGTAGACCTAAGCCATTTGTTTTATAATTTGGGTGAACCAGCTCCTTAATATGATGAATCATGATGTTTTATTTCATGTACTGAGCTCCACATGCTCTGTTATAACCCACTTTATTATAACATGTGCATGTGTGTGTGTGTGTGTTTGCCCCTCTCATGACCTCAGGGTTGCCAGACCAGCTGTCTCCTTTTCTTTCATACCCCTCCCCCTTTTTCTCTCTTCTGTCTCTTTCCTTACTAAACATTTACTCTGAGATTAGGAACTTTTACTGGCCTTATCTGCCAGACGGCCCTCTGTATACAGGTGTCAGCGTTAGACGTCTGTAGTTTCTCAAGTAGGACCCACAGGTCTGTGGATTTTAACGTAACCTCTTCTCAAGGAATGGAGTTTTCCTGTAGGAAGTCTAGTAAATGACAGTGCTGGTCTTTAACACTCCACCATACCGACAATAACACGGGAGTTTTCAAGACGTTGGCCTGTGTTGGCTCACTTCACTTTACGGCAGTGTGTGGCATCTGTTTAGAAACAGTGATGTGTGTGTGTGCATGTATGTATGCTTGTGTTCATATTGTATGTATGTAATTTGCATTGTATTGTACATGTGTAAGTATATGAAACTTCTATGTGTTGTGCTTGCATGCATGTGTGTGTTTTGTTCATATCTGTTTGCATGTGTCTGAGCGTGCTGGCATTTGTATGGTGTGCGTGCATGAATGTGTGTGTTTTGAGTTTGGGTGTGTGACTGTTATGTGATAGGGTTTGACATCTGGCTTGCCACTGGGAGCGTTTTGTTCTCCTGAGTTGTTTAACTCTCCCCAGTAGAAATAATTCTGGAATTGGCTACATGTGTCCTGAAACATATTGTGTGTGTGTACATGTTGTACCAATCTGTACAGTTGTTAAACTACCTGCTGTTTTCTATTTTCTCTTTATTTCTGTCCTTCCTACCCCTCCCAGTCTTCCTTTCCTTTTCCTCCTGTCTGAACAATAAAATATGCATTTTTTAATTGCTATCCAATACCACCCATATGATGATTCATATTTAGTTTTTTCATCTACAACCTCGAGTTTAGGTAACTGACAGTACAGTATTTCCTCTAGGATTTTTTTTAGCAGCGGCGGCAGGCCCGTCTGAAACAGAAGTGACACTGACAAGTTGAACTTGTGGTGGAGCTGTTAGTTTAATAGTCGACTTGGAAGAAAGCGAACGTTTTGAGTTAAACTGGACAGCCCCAATAACCTCTGAATAGTTCTACTTGTTGTTAAATTGCAATGTGAGCGGCAGCAGGATCATTTAAAAGGCAACCGTGACTACATTGTGCGTCTGCCCCATTTCTGATACCGTAGGGGCAGAAATTTAACAGCGACGGGCCGCCGCTCCAAATTCAACATAGAGGAAACACTGAAAGTACTTGGTTAACTTTCGAGAAATATGCAAAGAATTTGTCATGATTAAAACAAGACTAAGAGCTAGTGGCTCTGTGAAGGTGTAATTAAACATCAGCATGGCAACATGAAAAGACACACTGACCATTGATGTCTGTACCAAATATCAATTTCATCAGCATACCAAAACTGCAATCCCTAGAGCTACACTGTTAGCATGGCTGAAACTACTTGTTTAATTAGAGAAAGACTGCAGTCATGGTTAAAATAAATCAGCAACTGTTAGTAGGAGACAGAATGCAATTCACAGTTTCTTGTGTTAAATCTTTGTTGACCCATCTATGAGTCTAAACTTCTCACTGAAATCATTTTGCAGTGTTCTAACAATGTCAAGCTACTTCCGCCTTTGCTACTTAGGGAGGACCACACAAGAGGTCACTTTCTAGGAAAGCATTTGAACAACTAATGCTGCCAGTTTTCTGGTTAGGACAGTCTCAGATCTCTTTCCTTTGGTTTTGTTCTCCAATACTCAGCTCCTCTATTAAACCCATAAATCACACAGTGTGGTGTGTCGTGTTATGGATTGAGAAAATGACTGGTGATGCATGAGATTGATGTACCTGCCACTGGCGCTGATAACTGTTTGTGAAAACAGACATCACCAGGGAACCATCCTTCCTTGACATGTAAAATCTTTACTGATCCTTCCAAAGAATATGGAAAGACAAGCCCGATTTATTTCAATATTCCTAAACGCAGGAAAAAAAATCCATTATCCAATGTCATCCTGTTATAAACTTTTCCCCTTGCCAGAGACCCCAATAAATGTCATAACATTGCCGGGTTCTTTTTCTGTTTAAAACAGCTTTATTACCCTCACCTAGATAGATCAGAGTGAAGTCATGCCACAGAACAAAGGTGTGTCTATGTGCGTGCAAGGGAAGGGGGCTAATTTTTCCAAAACGAAAGAAGCCTCGTCCATCTTTAACATCCTGTCCCCACCTCTTAAAAATGGAAAAGGGATCCTTTGCGAGGGGTTGGGAGTGCAGGTTGAGAGAAAACAAGTCCCTATAAGGGGGGGAAAGGCAAAAGGAGCACTGGAATGTCGAAATAAACTCTCCTTCTGGCAAGGCTTGATGGGTAATAGATCAACGTCGCTTTTTCTCATGCCTGGAGACGTGTTTTAGGCAGCGTGCACAGTACCACTGCTTAATTTACAGTATTTGGATGTTGGGTTTAACCGTAATGGCTTAATTGGAAGGAATGAGGAAGTTGATATGGCCAGAAAACATACAGAGTGGACCTGCAGCAAGGCACGGAAGACCTTTTTTTTTTAGCTTCGAATTTAGACCAAACCAAGTGTATATTTATGTGTTGTCACCTGATCCTAATGTCGTTATGCTAAGTACATATTGCCCCCCAAAAAGCTACATCCCTGTCTGCAATATTTCAGACAAATAAACATGCTTTTATTCTTTTTGCAGAACTCCTTCTCCAGTGTCTTTCACATGGAATATGAGGAGCTGGGTGAAGTCCTAGACGCCCCCAAAAGGTAAGGTGATCGCCCTCAACTGAAAACCGTTATTGAATTAAAAGTCCTGCAGATTAGCCTTGAGGCGTACTGCAGCTATTTCCACCAGTTATTAGCGCTAATGTTTCCTTGAATTTGCAAACTACCCTTTTCCTCACCTCAGAGGCCCTCGGATGACGTTTGTGTAATAGGCACTTGGATTCATTATCGTCATATGCGCTCACAGAGGGAGAAGCAGAAATATGGTTGTCAGGCAATGTTTTGGCAGTATAGAGAAAGCCTTATTGTGCCCATTCAGTCACTCTGAATTTCAAGAGTAAAGACAAGACAGAGTGGCTCGCTCCAATACTCATAAGTTTGCAGAGCTGATTTGCAGCCCCGTGGGATCTTTCTGAGGTAATCCGCCTTCTTCACCTGCCAAATTCCCAGACATTTGATCGCCCGCTTTGGACTCAAAGCTCTTGTTCTCATTAGCCAGGCTCCTTTGGCTCAATGCACAGTCTTTAGAGTTGATTTGACAGCTCCTCAATCACAACCTGTTTATCATGATGAAGTAGGCCCTTTTACTATCTTGGAGGCAGTCCGAGACCTTTCCAAGAGGGTCTAACGATCATCCGTCACGCACAGACACAGTTGTTTTTAGGTCAGCATGCACCCTTATTGCATGTGACAGCTATATTAGTTGCATATTTGAAGCAGCAGTTGTACTACAGTGGATGGAGATGGGTTAGGGAAAATATGTTACAAAATACAATTCCTGTTACCTTATTTGTACTGTATATTACTAGGGATGCTCGATATTGGCTTTTCTGCCGATATCCGATATTCCGATATTGTCCAACTCTCAATTTCTGAAACCAATATCACCCGATACCGATATATGCAGGCTTTTTACACCAAAACTGTTAGGTAACAACATAACATATCTCCTATTGTGGAATTAACACATTATGCCTAATTTTATTGTGATGCCCCACTGGATGAATACATAAATGCAACATGGCTTTCCAAATGTAAACACTGTCTGTGCAAAATAAGAGAACAACTTCAACTTAAGGTATGGAAAAATGTGTGAGGTGTGAGACCCACGGCACTCTTGAGAATGAAGTACAGCCTTTTTCAACACAAAGTCCTCATCTAGCCATTGTGCAGCCAAACTCAACAAGCTAACCTGGGTAACGCTTGAAGACCAGATATCTGTAGTGAAGCTAATGGATACAGCACCAGAAATTTGCTTCTCAACATGGCTGTAAACAATACTGTACAATGCGGGTAAGCACTCGTCTGAGAAATACTTGCGACTTGGCATGGCATAACGCGGCTCGAGGAACTCCACAAGTTTGGTGAATCCGGTATCTTGAACGATAGAAAAAGGCTGTTTATCCAGTGTGATACACTCCATGATTTTCAGATCAATGGCTCTCCATCTGGGGTGGTCATTGTCATATTTTTGTTTTTTCTGTGTGGTTGTTTTCGGTGTCGGCTGTGCTTCTTTTCACACTTTGCTGCACAAATGTAGCATGTAACCCACATGATTCTTCTTGAGGTGGGCTATCAAATTTGATGTATTAAAGGAAGACGCCTTGTTTCCTCCTCGAATAACCAACACTTTGCAGTCATTGCAAATTGCAAATTTACAATTTGTAGGACACACTTTGAAATAGTTCCAAACCACAGACATCTCATGCACCGGGCCAGCAAGCTTGTTAGTCACGGTTAGCAACCAACCAGTCTAGCGTGTAGTTGTTGTTGTTATACGTCATTAAGTGCGCGCCGGTAAACGTCCCATTCTGCGCTCATGCAGGCTCGGAAATGCTGAAGCCTACAGAACAAACATCGGTTATAAAAACCCGATACCGATAATTATATATATATATATTACATTTTTTAGTGAATATCGGCCGATAATATCGGAGGGCCGATATTATCGGACATCCCTATATATTACCACTCACAAAACCACTTGTTATATGAAGAATCATTGAAACATTGTCAAAAAGCTACCTTTACATCACGACCATTAACAAATGAGAACACTGTGGCATTGTCTGTGTGTTTTTTCCAAATTAAAGCCCCATTTCCATTAAACTTTAAAAGTTAACAGTGAAGAATGTGGGAAAAAAATCACAATTCAGTGTCCACTCAACGTTTTCAACCACCTCTCACAGCCTTTATTATGAAGACCTTGTAAACTCTAGTATGCAAATGAGGCATTATCTAGTTATTTTGCATACAGAAATCAGTGAATAAGTCATTTTGTTGACATATTAGAGTCAAAGGTTTAGAGACAGAGGGAATTTTAGTTGTTTCTTTTTATCACTCCATAAATGGGGGACAAACTCCTGGGGACAAAATGTGATATAAATCATGCTATGAATGATATATAAACAAAGCCCTCAGTAAAAACCTTCAGAATATAGATAGGAATAAAACTGGAAGTTTTGGTGTATGTAAGTGCTACTGAAGCAGAGTTCTCTGGCTGTGAGAAAAAAACTCAGTATGGAAAAAGACACAACAGGTGAATAAGGTAATTTAACTAATAGATATCCCCATGAAACTTCCCCAGTGGATTACTTACAGTAAGACCGTTTTTTGTAATACAAGTTTTCTGAAATGTTTTGTTTAAATATGCAGATGAGGCATTATTTGATGCTAACTTTAAGTGAAACCTACAGGCACATATAGACAAAGTGTGATAAAATAAATACCTAAATGTGTATTTTGGGTGTTTCATTTCCACTACTCTGAAAGAAGACATGAAAGACAAAAAAATGTCTGGTACATAAATAAAAAAAACTGTGTTTTTGCCTGTAGTGTCTCTGCTTAAGGGTGTACAGGCAGGGAGGTTTGGGATGAGCAGAAAAGGCTTGGAGGAGGCTACAGCTGCAGAGCTTCCTGACATCAACTCGTGCTCCAGGAGGAGTGAATAAGCCGTAATGTGATTTAAGACGCAATGAGATATAAAGCCCTCCCCTTTCCTCCTTCTTCCCCCGGCCCCCCTCATCTCCAGGGTGGCCTGGCCTCCCCAGTTGCTACGCAGCATCTAAAATTCAATCTTAATATCAGCCCAAGCAACAGAACTGGACTGTGTGCATGTGTGCACAGTTGTGTTTGTGTCAACTTACCAATATATGAGGCCTATACTGGTCTTATATTAGGTTTTGGCCTCAGTATGGTCTACCTGAAATACAGATATGCTGCACATTGATGGATTACATAATCATAGTAGAATGTATTGTTTATACACTAGGTATGCAAGAATTCCTTAACCTGATTTGATAGTAATGAGAGCAGATCAGTTTTTCCTTAATTATGTACTGTATGTGCTTCAGTTACAACTACTGTGTAGGTTTCCAATACTGAATAAGTAGCTTCTCCATTCTGACAAGAATAAACATCTGGAGGATATGCTGAATACTTGGAATTCCTCAAAATAATATTTGTCAGAAATGGTCAGATTCATACATGTTGATTATTGGGACAAAATGTCAGCTCGCAGCTGCTTTAATTGAGGTGTTTTAGTATCAAACCAACATCTACATCAGATTGTGAGCATCCATGACATGTGATTGTATGAATAAGGATACTTAGGAACTAAGGAACAATTATAGCATTATAATTAGAGAAATTAAAATAAATAAATTGGCCAAGAAACTCCAAATACTGTTTGAAATAATAAAACTTTGGTTTGACAAAATTTTAAAATAATGCCAGCCATAACCTTTAAACACAGGCCTGAATAACACCTAAATTTCTTTTTTTTAAAAAGCTCACAGTTGATACTGATATATCTTCATTGTACTGAGAACAGGTTCACAAGCAATGCTTTCTATCAGGTTTTATTGACTCTATTCTTGCACTAATACCTTCTCCAGGCAGAGATAAAGCTAAGAGACATAAAATCAATAAAACCTGATAGAAAACAGTTTGTGACCTCCTTTTTTTGGTGGTGGACCTGTCAGATCTTGTGAGCTTCCTGTTTTGAGGTTTTTCCAGGGTATGAACAGATCGAACTGCTTTTAAACCCATCAAGTGGATATCCTCCAAATCAAATCGGTTAAATCTGCGTGTGCAAACAAAGCTCAGTATGTAAGTGAGCAAGCAAATAGAGGGAAAATAGGCAGTTGTGAAGCTCCCAACACTGTCAGGGATGACACAAACCAGATGTCTTATCTTGTCTCGTCCCCCATAACGTCTCATTTTTTTACAGCCTGCTCTCGTGGCTGTTTAGATCTAATAACTGCCTTTAGATACCGCTGTGTGTATGTGCTGTTTCACTGGGAGGGCTGCGATATGGCAAAACCGGGTAGCTCCAACTGGGGCCAACGCGGGAGGGGAGGGGCCCCTGCAGGATGTTAGCTTTGACCGTCTGGAACCGCAGGAGGCTTTTTATAGTGACATTAACCTCGGGCTGCGGCTTCCCAACGACAAGGCGCCTGTTTCGCCAAAGCAGGAAATTCAGTCGAGCTGAACCGATGTTGATCCGGCTTGCAGGAATGGCAGGCGGAGCGTTTCAGGTTGACAGAGTGGGGCAGTCAACTTTTTCTGGATCTGGAGTTTGATTGTTGCCCCGAATTGAAAGCCAGCGTAGTGCTGTCATGGTTTTTAGTGATGCCGGTGGCTATTCTGTGGCCTCATTTAAGTCAATCACCGAGAGAAGGAAAGGAAATGTGGATTTTAGTGTGTTTGGGTAATTAAACTTGAGCACAAACGCACGTACTGTGCAGCATGTCCATCTGAAGCGCGTGTGTGTGAGAGAGAGAGAGAGAAAGATAGAGAGTGAGGGAGAGCTGAGGCCAGTCTGGACAGAACACATTGTTATAATTACCCTGAAGCCTTAAAGTCATCCAAAATGAAACTGTTTATGGATAGAATGTTGGAAACCAAGCAAAACACACACACACAGAAACACTCACAAAAGTATTCATTAAACAAAAACACAGTGTCATACTTAAGTAGTCAAAAATAAAAATACTCAAATAAAGTACAAGTACCTCAAAATTACAGTACAGTGCTTGAGTAGTGCTTAGTTACATACTGCTTTTCTGTTACTCCCTTTTTTTCTCCCAAGCACACACCCACTGAAACACACGTTTTCTATTTGACGTCCTTTCTGTCATCCACTAACACACTCTCATATTCCCTCCCACTCGCGCACACACATACCGTCCTGCCGCAGCACTACAGCCAAAATCCACTGGCTTTTGCCGTAACCTCATGTTTTGTTTATATATCCATTTTCCATCATTTATCATTGCAGTATTATAGCTGACTCTGTGGTCGGACTTGGAGCAAGTAAAGATAACAAACAGGCTTATTAAGCGCTGACAGACGTGACTGACTGCTTCAGCTCTCAGACCTGAGCCAGGGCACGGGGTGGACTCAGGTGCAGCCTTGCGGCTGCAGTTCTCTCATTAACCAGCAGATGTTTTATTACTCAGTGCAGTCGGCCCTGGAGCTTTAGAAGCAGGTTTAGGGTTATAGTGGTTGCCGGATTGATCCAAGGCTCAGCTTGGCAAAGCTGAGTGAAGGAACAGTCCAAATGAATCTTCAAGGTGTCACTAAGAAAGTTTCTTAATCCGTTCAGAATCCATTTATGTTCCAAATACAAAAATATTGTAATGGTGGATTTCTACTCGAAATGCTCATTAACTACTTTATATGTTTTTTTGTATGTCCAAATTAAATGGATAGTTATAGACTAAAATGTTTTGATTTCACAGCCTGCAAGTGTGTAAGTGTATTTTAGCACTCATGAAGCTTGTTTTCAGTAACAACAACAGCTGTTTTCAGCCAAAAAGATAAATCCACTGTACGACACCTGCCCGGCACCAAACAGCAGAAAGACAGAGTTAGCTAGCTGGAGATCATAGTGGAGCATTTAGCAGCTAAAGAGTCAGATATATTTACCTCAGGAGTTGGTGGAGCCCAAAACAGAGCTAAAAGCATAGTGAATATTAAACTCACATTCATCAGCTGGACACAAACACCACTCCAAATGAATGCAAATGTTGCTCTGTGTCTGTTGGTTGAAGTATGGAATTGGTTGCCAACACGTCAGCCATATCAATTTTATGAGGTGATAATGTGTCAGGGTTACAATATTTACTGTTTGTCGTGCTGCCCTCAAGTGTCTAAACACTATTATTATTTAAATCTGACAGGCTTAGACACCATGTTTTACATCAAATGTATATATTCTATATTCATTGTGTATCATTTTATAGCTTCACATTCACACATCTTTGTTGGGTTTAAACAATAAATATTGGCAGATGATTCTGTCCAACATGACTTATAAGTGCATTCGAAGTCCATACAACCCCAAGCTAACTGTCTTAAAATAGGAAAGTGTGTTCTAGTACTGGATTGGTGCATACAAACGTGGTGTTTCTTCTCATTATGAATGGTTCATTATGAAGTTGTTTGTGTGGTTATGTGTCTCCTCAGGGACTGTGATGTCAGTCAGATTAACTACATGTACGCCCAGTATGTTAAAAACACCATGCTGCCTCTCAACATCGCAGACGTCACCAAGGACCAACGCTTCCCCTGGACAGTCAGTAAATGTTTTCTTTTCTTTTTCCGTTTCTTTTTCTGTTCTTTCCTCTCCTTTTCCCAAATTGAGTAATTATCCATCTTCTCGTCGTCCTCTGACAGAGTGAAAACCCAGATCACACCAGCAACCAGATAAAGAGCTTGCTCTGCACTCCCATCAGGAATGGCAAGAAGGACAAAGTCATAGGTAGGATCTCTCCCTCTCTCTTTCCCTCTCTCTCTGTGGAGCACCCTTTAGAAGTACAAAACCACCTTTTTTTCATCTGTTCATGACAGTAGCTTAGCTGCAGTAAGATCTGCCTGGAGAACACCAGCATGGACCGATATCGGTTTTTAAGATGCACAGGTTTAAAAAATAAAACCGCAGCAAGACGTTGGGTGTAGACCATCAGCACAGACATATAAGAGGTCTTTCTAATTAGTGGTTCCTTTAAAGTGTATTTTCATTACGGAGACTGCCGGTGTCAGCATCACATATTGGCAAACATACCCAGAGAGTACTGAGCACTGTGAACATTGATCCCATATTGCTTCAGCTGTGGTTTTCCAGTTACTGTTCAAGGCAGGGATGTAACATCAGCACCCAGGGTTAGAGGCTTTAACAATCTTAAATTATAGCCCTGATAACACATTAAGCCCGCATAGCATTACCGCTTTTATAATTCGTCCATGAATAGTCCTGCCACTCCATCCATCACAGTGATTATCATCAGCATAATCAGCCGATAGCTGCTCCATTAGTTGGCTATGAACGTGACTAATGACCGTGGATGTCCTTCGGTGATGAAACAAAACAGGTCCTTACGGCCTCTCCTCCAACCTTTAAGAGTCCTGGTGATGGGCAAGATCAAAACAGCTCAATTTATTACAATGAAATGCAATGCATCCTTCTCCTCTAACAGATTCATTCAGACAAGCTCATTTATTGCTTCATGAATACATTATTGGCCTTAGAGATGCAGTATTCTGTTCCGTGTCCTTATAAGGCAAAAACTGGTTGTATCTCATTTTAGGATAATGTAACCAGTTAAGGCAGCTTATCATTTAGACATTCAAGTAAATTAAATCTGTCCAAATGAAATAACCAGATTCAATAATCCCAACTGTACGCTAGCTGTGAGCTAGCTAGCAGTGGGTGCACCGATGTCTTTGGGAGTATAGCTGTTTGTGTTCAGCTCAGCCTCTGACTGGACTCACTAGACTCACTAACTCCAGTTCTTTCTGTTCATTTTCCTCTCTCTCTGTTTCCCAGGGATACATGCAAAAGTTGAAATATTTAAATCTGTACAACCTTGCCCCAGATTTTAGGGATATGCAATACATAAGCACAAAACTAAAATACTGTAGGATTTAAACTAGATTTTGACAGGGACCCCGTTCAAGAAAGGGGCTTGAAATTTAACAGTAAAATAAAAAGAAAACAAAAAAAGTAGTCTTCATTTTTGAAAAGGATACAAAGAAACATTGATTTTTGTTCTCCGTCGCATAGCAACAGTGTTCTCAAACCACTTAAACACCAAGGATAATGTGTGCTAAAACTTCCGGTGTCAAAAATACAACCTTTATGTCTGTTCCTGTGTTTGTCGGTGTAGGTGTGTGTCAGTTGGTGAACAAAATGGACGAAGCATCAGGCAGCGTGAAGGCCTTCAACAGGAACGATGAGCAGTTCCTGGAAGCTTTTGCAATCTTCTGTGGCCTCGGCATCCAGAACACACAGATGTACGAAACAGTGGAGAGAGCCATGGCCAAGCAAGAGGTCACACTGGAGGTCAGCCTCATGCACACGTATTTATTCTTATTGACAGTGCATCTTGAAACTCAGTGCATTATGTGGCCCATACTGACCTGCGTACTGACCAAATCCGATTTGTTCTTGCAGTAGTATAGGACAGAAAAATTCTCCCTTCCGACCTAAAAAAGATAATAAAAGTATAAGTATAATAAAATTAAAGAAACCTAATTAGAAGTATTTAGCTCCATAATGAAAAATAAACAGGATCAAACTTGGTTAATTTAACTGGCTGCCCACCCCTACAACTCCCCAACAAGGAACTGCCAGAAACATGGCAAATGCCACATCTTACACAGCATTAAGAAGACAATTAAACAGTGTGTCTGAGAAATAAAGACATGACATTCCACATTTAATGAGTTTTGTAGCATGTTTAGAGCACCAAATATGTGATTCATTTCGATCAATAATGATATTCGGAGCGATTCCAATAAGGCACAGTCACTGCTTGGGCCCTAATAAATCACTATATCAGAGGTACCACCCAGTAACTGGATATGAGCATAACAAAGAGGTAAAGACTGAAAATCAATATATATAATTTCATAACTTAATGTGTGTGTTTTAGTACCTCTGTCTTTGTGAGGAATCAGTTTGAATAAGTTCGCCCAGTTCTCACATCTTCAGAGACGTAGTTTTAGGGTTATGGTTACGATCAGGTTTAGGTTACAGTTAGGGTAAGATTTAGAATTAGCTGTTTAGTTGTGATGGTTAAGATGAGGTGCAAAGGGGGAGGCTTCATTATGGTAATGAGGGTCCTCACAAGTACAAAAGTATAAAAGAGTACCGTGTGTGTGTTTATGTGTGTGTGTGTGTGTGTGTGTGTGTGTGTGTGTGTGTGTGTGTGTGTGTGTGTGTGAGAGCATCTGATAGAGCTTATATGTGGGTGTGTGAGTGACAGTGATGAGGCGATGCAGGAGGACTTTTCAAGCTGCTTCTTGACACTTTCCTGCCTTCAGCCTCTGTGCGTGACAGACAGAAAAGCACAAATTCATTATAAGTTAGCCCACACACGCTCACAATTGACTATTACACCTTCTATTCAGTCTCACGTACCTCCCCTCTCCTACTTCCAGTCACATGCGTGCACACACACCATACTGTACACGCTGGCTGTTTTCAGTGTGTGTTCTCAGGTGGTGGAGCTGTCAGCTTCAGGGTGTCAGAGGTGACGTCTCCTCTCGCCTGCAGCTGACGCCCGCCTCCTCCGCTGCCCAGCAGCCTCCACTTTACCCAGTTCAACCAGGCCAGTCCAGGCCAGTCTCCTGCTCACTCTGCTTCGGGTGTATGTGTGAGAGTAGAGAGGTGGATTCATGAAAAAAGGGGACCGTTTTAAATTGAAATGTTAGTTACAACATCTGTGTTAGATCTGGTTCAAGGCTTTAGCAGGTTGTCCTTCATACCAGGGAAAGTATAGCTGTTAGAAAATATCTTCAGTACTTCAGTGACTGACTTTAATATACTGCCATCACTCTAAGTAACCATGGCGAGTGATTGAAGACTCTCCATAGTGGAAATATACAAATTATACTGTTACCAGGCGCCAGATATCAAAATAGCAGCAAATATAGCTTTGAAGAAACTGGGCTAAAAGACCATTGCCATTGCTTGGCGCCAGTTAATATTCCTATCCCCATTTGATTTATTACAGGGTTAGATACCACAGTATGAACACTGTGGCAAAATCTCTGACTAGTTCTATCCTAACAGCATATTAAGGGGTAACAATACTGGGGAAACTAATAAGAAAATGAGCCAGTGAGGATGAGATTATCAATTATCAAAAACATGAACTGTGTTTCTTTTCACTCTATTTTCTCTTTTATTACTTTCTGTTGTGAAAATTAAATTCCCAAACTGCCAGTGCATGGTGTTCTTTGTTTTAGTTTAGACACAAAAGATACAAGGCTCTTTTGCTATAACTCCAGACTCTGAACTTGACTGACGCATTTGATAGATGAGTGGCGCCTCTTTTTCCTTTCCTCTCCTGCTCATCATGAGCTTCACACGTCTATTTGACGTCGTTCCCAAATGAGTCAGATTCATAGATCTTTTCCAGCAGACATTTTGACTTGTCATAGCAGGAGAAGCACAGTGGATAATAATAACATTAACCCTGGCTCCCGCAACTGTTGCAATGCCATGCAGCATTTAATAATGTTCTTGACCTGCTTTAGACAGGTCCAAATATGTGCTGTGAAAAGGTCTATTCTTGCTCACCACAAAGCAAAAAGTAGAACTAAAGAATTGGAGATGCATGGCAGAGAGCAGTTGTGTATGCCCTGTGTGTGTGTGTGTGTGTGTGTGTGTGTGTGTGTGTGTGTGTGTGTGTGTGTGTGTGTGTGTGTTTTCTCCAGAAAACCTGATATGACCCAAAGTTTGCATACCTCATCTTTTCTGTGTGCGTGTGTGTGTTCCAGGTCTTGTCCTATCACGCCTCCGCCGCAGAGGAAGAATCGCGGGAACTCCAGGTAACCGCGGTAAATTAAAATTTATTCATTTAACAATACACACTTACATGAACATTAGCTCCCACCAATGCATTGATGACTCAATACACAGCCATTAACACACACAGTGACACACACACAAGCAGATGTTGTCCTTCAGGGTCAGAGGAAGCAGTTTGTGTAGATGAGAAACGGTCATGTAACGCCACACCACACCACTGAATCAGCAAGAAAGGGCCAGTCTAGGAACTCTATATGGCTGCTTTCCCCACAGACGCACACATGCACACACATTTGTAGTGGAAATCATTGACCAGTGTAGCACTAAATGCATTGAAGTAGTGTGTAATTAACCTTGAATGGACTTTGACTGACATGAGGCATCTGTGTTTGGTGTTTGGCACATTTATACAAAATAGGATGCATGTGTAACAGAGCCATAGTTATGACTTGGATGATATCACAATATCTGCATCCATCGTTCATCTCATTAACTCCGAGACAGACAAATGTGATTTTTTGGACATTGTCTACGGTGGCTATGAGGTGCAAAGCACATTTCAGAAAGCGTAAGTTGACTATTTTTGAAAATACATTGAAAAAGACCACACAAACAGTATTTCAGAAAAGTCAAAGTTGACATTGAAGTTAAAGAAATTAACGAAAACAATATTCAGAAAATACAAAGTTTCAGGAAAAAAATTGCAGAAATCCTTTTACAAAGGCTAACCTCTCAGAAAATGAATGAACAGAACAGAAAATGTGTCAGATGATACAATATTTCAGAAAACTAAATATTTTGGGTAACCCTAACAGCACCTATGAAAACACAATATTTCAAAAAATTTTAAACGTTGACATGCAAAATAAATCAACAAAAACTTCCTTCAGAAAACTTGACATTTCAAAAAACTTAACCATTGTATGACTACTCAAATCAACAGAATTTTAGATAATCTGACATTTTAGAAAACCACATAGCATTTAGTGTTCCACTGGCACAATGAAGATAAAATTACACACTTCATCTTTATATTACATGACATTACATATTATGTAATGTAATATTTCACTGATGCAGGCAAAGTTTCAAAGAGAGACCAGACAGTGTTGTTTTTGTCCACTTGTCGTAGGTGTTCTATTGTTTCACTGTCCGTGCAAAACAAGGTTCTTCAAAGCTCTCTTCATGCACAAACACTTTACTGCGTAGTTATTTAAACAGAATAAAGAGCCTGTGGAGGCATGGCAGGAGAATCACAGTGAGTCTGTTAATGCAGAGCAGACAGCCTTGTAGAGAGTAATAATAAAGTGGTTAGTTTGGATTTTATCTGTGCCTAGCCATGTTTCAATGAAAGCTTTTTGATTTATTCATCTTCTAATTGTCCCACAGACGTCTCAACAGGGTTTTCCCCTCCACATGTCAGACCTCTCAGCAGCTTTGGTTCTGTGACTCTATTGAGACAGACAGCTATCTTTCTTCTTAGTTTCATTTGTCCTTGGGTTTTTATTCTATTAACCTAGCCTTGCAAAAAAGTGTTGCTTACGTTTTTCGCAAAACTGCCACCCAACTACTGTCACATGCACACCCTTTGTTATGGTCTGCAAGACAGGTCACATAAAGTAACTGTATGAAACTCTAAAGAAGTAGATATACTCTTAGTGTTGTGATTTTTTACAATGGACAATTATTTTTTCAGCTTTTGTAAACATACGACAAGGAGTTTTTGACTGGTTATGAAACTCAATTTAATACTGATGTCTTTAAATGACCTACATTAACAAATAACACCATCAGTTAGAAGATTAGCTATTTCTATATAGTTATTTTTAATACCTGCCACTGGGTCTGATTCCCCTTGAAATCAATGAATTGAGTCGGTGGAAACTCTACCGCTTTTGTCCACAGAGGCCGCCAGAATCAACACGAAATGAAAGTTCCTAGAAGTCTCTCTAAATAAAAAATATAGTTGTTTGCATGTAATTTCAAACTAGAACGATTCACATCACACACTACAGAGTTTACACATTTGAATGGCAATAAGAGTTATGAGTGAACATGAAGTTATACATTAATAATAATGATGCAAGGTAATGTGTATTGCATCACTTTTATTATCCCTTGTTGACACTATTATTAGTCTCTTCATTTCAGTCCTACTTTAATGACTTCATGGTTTATGGTTTCTTGTAAACAAACATAATAATTGTTTTATGCTTAACAAACGTCAATCCATTTCCTTCCTTATGAAATATTTGCCAATTAAATTTTTTTTATCTACATTGTGTATATCCATGTTTGCAAGCAAAGTCTTCTTCCGCCTTGTTTTTGTAGAAACATTAGATTTTGTTACGGCCACAGTCAGTCAGTGGGATAGCATGAACTCATCTGCATTAGTGTGAATTTCGTCAGCTGCATGCTTACGCGTACACGTGTGTCAAAACAAAACATGGGCCCACTCATCAACACATTGCTTGCTAGCACCTCTAGTGGTCAAACACTCTGCAGGGTCGCTTTAAGTTTTACTGTAATGTCATTATTTCAAGTGACATTTTTTTTGTTTAATCTAAAATGAATTTGTTTTATTTTAATTATAAATGATATGACCTTATCTATGTGAGATGTGAGAGGAAAACATTTGCTGGCTAGCCAGGTGTTTGCAAATTTGAAGGGTTTTTTGCTCATCAGTGGAAACCACAGTCTCAGTTCCTTCAGGTACAGTAACATTGTCAATCATCGAATGATTGCTGAGATCTTGGAATGCAGTAAGATCGCTAAAAATAGGCCCCACAGCGGAAGAAGCACTACTGATCATATGATAATACTGGTTGTACAGGCCAACAGATTATCACTTTATTTGGTGGTAATAAAATAAGTGCACTCTGCTAAATGTGGATATTTACAACAGACGGTTTGGGTAATAATTTAACTACTGGTGTTTGTTTTCTCTTTGAACTGGCCATCTGCATTTGTACACAAATAACACAAAATATTAAAGAACCTCCCTGCAGCCAGACTGTCCAAGGATTTTGTTAATTAGCTCACTTGTAAGTATCTAACTGGTTTTCTGACGGCACTCCAAGTTAGCTTTCCAAATATGAACCAAACAGTGCAGCCCAGCTTTCACACCAGTCACAGCCTTAACAATGACACCACCTCAAAATGCCTGTTCTCCTCTCCTTGTGGAGAAGTGGCCGAACTAACAGCATAACCTGATTAAGAGGCCTCCCTTGGGTGCGAGAGAGAGGATGTGTCACTTGGTATCTAGGACACAGGCTTGATTTTTCGGGTGCAATCTACCCCAGAGACCACTACATACAGTATGTGTGACACATACATAATTGCGTAGTTTGGGCTGCTACTGTAACTGCAGCAGCATTTCTATGCCAGTTTTGTCACATTAAACAAAATAAGAATTAAAATTAAGATTCTGGAAAATAACTACCATGTGATTAGTTCAACTAAATAATGCAGGTGATACTTCAATATTCCTGCGTGTTTATTGAATCCACAGCCTCCCTGAATGTCCTAATGTTTGTTTATGTGTGTGTGTGTGTGTGTGTGTGTGTGTGTGTGTGTGTGTGTGTGTGTGTGTGTGTGTGTGTGTGTGTGTGTGTGTGTTTGAAGGTGGCCACAGTGCCGTCAGCCCAATCATTGCGTCTCCTGGACTTCAGCTTCAGTGACTTTGACTTGTCAGACACCGAAACCACGCTGGGTACTATCCGCATGTTTGTCGACCTCAACCTGGTCCAGAACTTCCAGATGAAGTACACGGTAAGAACCTGGGATGTTCTTAAAGCAGATTATATTATAGCAATTTCCATTGAACTCCATCTTTAGATCGTCTCTGTCCATCTGTTCTTTGGACACGTTGGTCCACAGCAAGAAATCTTGACAAATACTGGACAGATTTTAAAGACATTTGCTGTAGATATTCGTGGTCTCCAGAGACTGTTCTCAGGGCACTTCATGACCTTTCCTTAGGCACCAGAAATACTAAAAATCAAATGGGTAGATGATGCCAAGAAATTTACTGTGCACAGTCATACTCCCCAGATGGTGAACCTTTTCACTTTGGGCACTACATGACCTTTGCTTCTGCCCCATCCTCAAGAAGAAATGTTAACTTTGAAAATAAAAGATATTTAATATTTTTCAGTTATAGTTCATTTAGTGAGCGTGTTCTTGAATAATGAATAAACCCTTTTGATTTTGATAATCCTATGACTTTTTCTCTGGCGCCACTTGGTAGAACAAACTTAGTCTTAGTCCTTAGTATTTAAGAAGATAATTATCATCAATTTGTTATTTATCTGTTCAATAATAATAATAATAACTGTTGGGTGTAACCAACAGTGCAGCCTCTAGAGGCGACCAGTAAAGCTTGATGCATTTAGTCTTTTGTGTAAAATATGGTGTGATTATAGAAGAGTTTAAGTCAGTGGTTCTCAGCCTAGTATCTGGGGACGCATAGGGATTCTTCAATGGGTTCCAGGGGGTCCCCATTAAACTGGGAAATATTTAAATATCACTGTTATTTAATTGGCTAATAGATATGTAATAGCTCAATGAGAGAATATATAAGAATGCTTTTGTTTCACACGGTTCACTCTTAATCTGCCAATCTACAGTATAGAAAGTGAACTCGTCTTAAGCTGGCTAAACTGTTGTAACTTTGAGGTACAGGCTCCTTATGTTTAAAGAAACCAAAACCAAAACTACCTACACTGCAGGCCAAATCATAAATAAAATGAAGCAAATTATCATTCACTTATACTGAAATGTTACACATGAGCATGGGTACTATTTCCAAAGACATATGCCCAATATGTATGGTTTTGGAGACAAGGTCTGCATTACATTACAACAGTATTATTATGGTAGGTATCATGGCAACACAGAAACCACAAGGTTAGAACAACACATTATCCACATTACCCTGACATGACTGTTGTTTTTGTTCTCAGTGCATGTCATGGAAAAAGACAAGAGCAGCTTCCTGTTTTATTAATTGCAGAAAACAATCTGCTTCTCATTGTCAGCAGCATCAGACCATTAGAACATCAGTGTGTGTGTGTGGGGGGGGGGGATGATGAGTGAATGCATTTACCATTGAGTTAATATTTGTGTGTTTGCCTGCATCCTTAACTCAGAGACCACACACACACACACACACACACACACACACCTAAAACACTTCCCCTCCAAAAATCACTCTGCCGCCATTACCGCCGTCTGTCAGACCCACCGCTCTCCTCGCCCGGCTCCCCTGCGGCGCCACAGCACCGCCCGGGTCGCTGCCAGGTTTGGCTCCCGTCCTCAGCGTGCTCTCCACGTGAAGAGGTCCTTGTGTGTTGGTGGCTGACCTCCGGAGTGCCTGCGGAGAGAGGCCTCATAAAGGGAGCCTTTGATTGGAGGAGATTAGGGCCCTCCAGCAGTGCAGGGGCTGCCAGTCTGACGCTCACACCGGGAGCTGACACTCTGACCACCCCGGAGCATCACAGCCTGCGGGTTAAACTGTACAACATCTTATTACTAAATTACTTTTCATGCTGGAGAATCAGTCATTATAATCTAAGTGTAATGATCCCTGTAGAGAAAATGAAACATAATTTGAGTTTAGTTTAACGGCTGTGTGTTGCTAGTGAACATGTAGTGTAGCAAAGACTAACAAAAAGCAGATCATTGATTTGCTGGCAGGGTGCTGAGTGTTCACTTTGAGAAAGGGCAAACATCCTGACAGTCATCACATTTGCTTTTTATTTCTACTGCTGTTAATTTACCCCCCACTAATAATATCTTTTTCTGTCTTTTTTTTCCCCGTTAGTCATACAGTACATGTTTTGTAGGGAAAAACAGTGATTCCAAACTATTAAAAACCTAGAGTAGAATTAAAAAACAACGTATATGTATACGTATATTTACCAATTATGGTAAATGGTAAATGGACCTGTACTTGTATAGCGCCTTTCTAGTCTTCCGACCACTCAAAGCGCTTTTACACTACGTGCCACATTCACCCTTTCACACACATTCACACAGCAATGGCAAAGTCCATTGAACAGAAACTAACTCATTCATACACATTCACACATTATCACTTATGACCCACTAGAAGTGTGTGGAGGTGTCTGTATCTGCAGAGATTCTGCCCTCTGCCTCTATTATTTTGCTGTGGGATGTTTTTGGGCATGGTGTGAGGTCGGGACTCCATAATGTAGCAACCAGGTTACCAGCTCACTGTCTCTCTCCTCTGCTGTCATGGACTTATAAAGAGCTGCAGGTCTGTGTGCCTGTTTGACTGAGGGGAGACAGGATGAAGCCTGGCTTTGGCTGCATTTACACAAAATGTGGTTTCTTCCTGCAGGGTGGTGCGGAGCCATTGCCATGTTCTTTTGCGCTTTAGAATGTAACTGCAGTTAAATAATCTGGAAATAATGTTTTATTTCTCTGATTCACTTCTTTGTTTTTGCTAATGCCGTTTCTAGCAAGAACAATTTAACAGAAATAGTTTTCTTTTCACTAATTATTTAAAGTCGCTTGTACTGTATGTTGCAGTGTTGTAACACTTCCTGCTCAGATGTTTCACATTAAAAGCCTTGGAGCTTGGGGTGCCCAGATAGTTCACCTGGTGATGTACTAAGGCTGAGTCCTTGTTGCAGCAGCCCAGGGTTTGAATCTGACCTGTGGCCCTTTGCTGCATGTCATCCCCTCTCTCTTCCCCCTTTCCTGTCTATCTTCAGCTGTCACTATAAGGCAATAAAAGCCTCTGTATTATATCTGTGTATGTATGTATGTATACCTTTCTGTATATCCATATGCTGTGCTCACATGGTGCACTTCCAGCCCTGGAAAAGAGTCAAATAATTATTTTCCTGCTCTCTCTCTCTCTCTCTCTCTCTCTCTCTCCCCCCCTCTCCCTCTCCCTCTCTCTCTCTCTCTCTCTCTCTCTCTCTCTCTCTCCTGTAGAGTTTATGCCAGTGGATTCTGAGTGTGAAAAAGAACTACAGGAAGAATGTGGCTTATCACAACTGGAGGCACGCCTTCAACACCGCTCAGAGCATGTTCGCCCTCCTCAAGTCGGGACGCTTACAGGTCAGTGGAGCCAATCACTGGTTTGGATGAGCTGATTTGTTAAGATCCAGAGAGTCACTGATTCAATTCCATATGTTTTATCCTTGCTTTAAAGGACCATCTATCTAAAAGAAATCTAACATGCTTTACTGCAACTCATTTTCAAAGCTATCAATGACTGAGTTCATTTCACGGCACTGTGGAGAATTGAACTTGCGATAAAAAATCCATTGCTGTTAACAATTGATCTCCTTTTCTTCCAAGTCTCTCCTTGACACATGCAATATAGTGAACTTCAACATTGATAGTATGCTATTGAAAAGCACTGTATTAATTTGCTATCTACCCTAGAGATAAACAAGAAAAACAAAACATGGGGAGCAACCGCTCTGTATTGAGTGATTTATTGCTTTTGAAAAGTTGGTGTCTCTAATATTCCGAATTGTTTCCCTGAATGCACCACAATTCCTACTTACATCTGAATTACCAATAACATAACTTGAACAAAAAATTAGAATAAATAAAGCCATCCGATCGATCTAAAGCAAGTTCTTAGTCTCGGAAAGTTGTCTTTTAACGTAAAATAAAATTTGAAACAGTTAGTTCCATGGAATGTAGGTTATCAACCTAAAAGTATGTTTTAGAAAATGGTTGGCATGTTATATTAAAGTTATAGTTAAGTTAAAAGCTGATTTAAAGGGATAGTTCGGGTATTTTGAATTGGGGTTGTACGAGGTACTTGGCCATTGTCAGTGTAGACGGTGGTTGGCATGCCACCAGTAGCAGTACCAGCACGGAAGCTAAGCAATGTACTGCTGTGGATAGGGGTAGTAGTTAATTAATACTTCACTGCTTTACCTTGCCATCAGACAACCCTTTTCGACAGGAAGCGGAAGCGTTTAATCTATGCTCTCTTCAAAGCTCTATTGAAAAAAACAATAATTTTACCTCACGGTACACAGGAGCTGCTGATCTACCGCTGCCGTGATCAATTAGTTTGTTTACATTATTGGTGTTTTAGTTTGAATGCAGACTAATATTAGCTGCTGCAGATCGAGGATTCTCTCGAAGGAGTCGGGCGGCTTTGGAAAGAGCAATAAAACCAGTTTGCTTTTTTTCCCCCGCCGTCTACTGTAGGTGACTTTGACCTCATGCAACCACACTTCAAAATAACAGAACTATCCCTTGAAACAAGACATATAAAGGATGGTTAAAATTATTCAAATGATCCCTTACAACAAAATTCTTTGGAAAACACTGAAGCCCAGTGGCTTCCGTGACACAAAAACTGATGCATAAAATACTGGCAGCTATCAGCAGCTGCAGTCTGGAACTATTGGTATCAGCCATGCTGGAGCCCTGCTTTCAGCTTTGTTGTAAAAGCTGTTGTGTCATATGTAGAAACGGCCTCGCTTTCCACTCCAGGCTGCGTGCTGAGTACCCACACAACCAATGTGTGGACACAGCTATGAGGCTTTTGTTTGGTTTGATCATGGCAACAGATTATCATCTGTTTAGCAGCTGCACACAAACTATAGTGTGTACTTTTTCACTTCATCCGTCTTTTCACAGAATAACCTGAGCGATCTGGAGGTCTTGGCTCTGATGATTGCAACTCTCAGCCACGACCTGGACCACAGAGGAGTCAACAACTCCTACATACAGAGGTACAGCGGGAGAGCATGAGTCATATAAGTATATGTATGATTGTATATGCATGTGTGGGAGCACGCTGTATCCACTCTGTGCATTTCTTATTTCTTGCGTGTGATTGTGTGTCCAGGAGCGACCACCCACTGGCCCAGCTGTACTGCCACTCCACCATGGAGCATCACCACTTCGACCACTGCCTCATGATCCTCAACAGCCCCGTAGGTGCACTCGTTCACATACATACATAGAAAGCCTTCCACTCAGCCCATCATCCATCTCTCTACCTTCCAACTACCAAAGTAGAGGAAACAAATGGATTTTTACTTTGTCTAACAAGCAACGTACTGCTTGTTATTAGGTGCTTGATGGTAGCAGCAACATGAACTCAGAAGGATTTTGTTGTTAATGTAGATCACTGAAAAATGTGGGTTCCCATTTCCACATGAAGGTGCACCTTTTTGTATCCCTCTTAATGCAAATACAAAGCTGTAAAGACCTTATTTATTGGAGCCAGACAGATAAATTAGCCAGGCCGATATATCAGCTGATATCAGCTTATTGTACTGACAGGGTTATTTTTCCACTGTGAAATGTCCTGCTGAGTATGCATCCAGTGTCAGTACACATTCAGCAGACACAGAGCAGCATCAGCATTCATTCGGAGTTGTGTTTACAGGCACATGATAAATCTTAGTCCAATATTCACTCTCCTTTTAGCTCTGGTTTGGTCTCTAACCTGAGAAAAATATCTGGCTCTTGTTCACAAGCTAGTCTCTAACTGTGTCTGTCTGCTGTTTGCTGCTGAGCAGGTAGCGTACGGTGGGTTCATCAGAGCTTTCTTGCTGAAAACAGCTGTCTGCTTTCACTGGAAACAAGGTCAATGAGAGCAGTGACACTGAACTAAAACAATCAGCTGGAAGACACTAAAAGGTGCCATAGAGCTAAGGGGAACAGCAGAGTTGGATGATAATTCTCTGCGTGTCCACATTACATATACTCATTGTTCATATAGAAATATTAATTAGTGAATCTTTAAACAACATTTTAATATCAACTCCTTGCAAGTGACTTTGCAATGTGAATTAACCCCCTCAAACTTTTTTTATGCGCATTTGGAAAAGGTTTGATAGAAACAGCAAAACCTGAAATAAACAACCTCAATCACATTTGTATGCTTTTTACACTTTTTACACATAAGCAAATATTTCATTCAAATGACACTTTGTGATGAATGAAACTACTACTAGCAACTTTCTGCACACTGGTACCCTTTTATTTTTTCCTGTGAGTCCATCACTACTTTTCATCTATTGATCTATAGCTCCCTCTTCTCGTTTTCTGACTGGAGAATTGACACCACCTGCTGCTTATCTCAATGAACCAACTCCTAATAATCACATATGATAGTGGATGGAAACAGGCATTTTATCTCATTTTCTGTCTCTATTTTCCTCCAAGACTTTTCTTTTTATTGGATTTGAAATTCATAAATATACTAGCTAAGGAGGCTCAAGACTAGTAGCTACTGCTATCAAGGATTGACAAAGAATATAAAGGAAAAGGCACTAGATCAGGACATAACATTTGACGCACATTTTAGTGTTATTCTTTGAGTATTGGCTACACATTTTGGAAGAATGTAAGAATCACTTCAGGCCTACAGCAATGACAAATGATAAACAAAAAATGCAATTTCCATATCATTTTCAAGCCACAGGGAGCCACTGGAGAGGGGCTAAAGAGCTCCAGAGCCGCAGGTTGCCTACTCCTGCTCTAGTGCACTGCTTTCATTTCACAGTCCATTTACGGTATAACTGAGTCTGAAACACACTCATCCAACCCCCACAGGCAGCTGTTTCCAGCAAAAATAAAAACCTCTGCTGAACACAAATTTGATCACAAGCACCAAACACTTACTATATCCAGCTGACGTCCGATAACATGCCCACATAGAGCTGCTGCCTACAGTTACATGTGAGTGTAGCAAAGGAATACGTGTCATCATCATCATGGGTGTGAGTGTATTAGCAGCAAGACACAGGCAACAAAAACATCAAGCAAATTGTCTTTTCGCACCCGATTTTATCTTCATCACAGCTATGCAAAACATGACATTAGTTGGCCTTTCACAGCTGCAGCTGATTCAGTATGCAGCAGCTGAGCTCTTGGCAGGCGCAATCAAGAGGCTTCCTATCTCCCTCCCCTCCTCGTGTCCCTACATGGCTCCCAGCCAGCCTCAGAATTTATTTCAGAACTGTCACAGTTTGCAGCGCTCTGTGTTGTCTTGCACATCATACAGTAGGTCTCAGGTTAGATGTCTGATGTGGTCCTACAACAGGAAGGTGGTCAGGCCTTTTCTATTGCAGTAGCCAGAATCCATTGCCAATGCCAAAAATCACAGTAGAACTGATCATTTAATGACTGCCTATAATGTAATAAAAAATATAATAAAAACTGGTAATGTAATAGCATGCCCATAATGTAATAAAACTGTTGTGCACATAAAACAATGACTTTTTGCATGTAATGTAATAAGTATTATGTGTATCCTCAGATAAGGCCTTTATGGGTTGGCAAGCTCTCCGTTCGAGCTCAGACTAGACTCATTCCCCCAAAAATCCCTCAATGGCTGAACAACTGACAAAACTAACTTTACCTTGCTAATAGAGGATCTGTTTACACTGAGGAGTAAAAGATGGCATGGTCACACTGACGAATCTGACCTGATACCTGATTTTAAATTACATTTCACAAAAATAACCCCTATACCTGAAACTACTGTACAAGTTGTTGTGAAACATCAGAATAAATAACCAATTTGGTTATGTTAGCATAATAGATATTTTCTACGCATTGCATTTATCCATGTTTGCAAATGCACAACAATACAGTTATTTTGTAAAGATATGGTACAGCATGTGATGCTACAGTCACTTCCTGTTTGCATAGTTGATTGCTTTTGATTGGACAGAGATACAGAGGTTTCCTAGCAGCTGATTTACTCAGTAAAAGTCTTTATGAGCTAAGGTATTTAATGGAAACCATCTACTAAGAACTTAAGATAGACTCCATTCAGGCGTGTGTAGGGCTGCTTATCACAAATGTATTCATACATAAAAAGTAATTAAAAGAATATTGTACTTTTTAGTACAATATTCAGTACGTTGATGTGTCACCATTTGATCAAATAGCCTAATGTAACAACTAACACACATTTAATCAATTACTTTATTTAATTATGAGTGCAACATTTTGTTACATGAGCGTTTCTACAGCCACCCAGTGTTACTCCAGGGTCTTCTGAGTGTGCCTGGTGTCTTATATCTAGTTTAAGCTATTTACTGTTATCTCTTCCTTGTTAGAGCTGCAGTAGGTAACTTTTATAAAATAACTTTTGTTGGGCACCCGGTTAGCTCAGTCAGTAGAGCTGGCGACCCATATACAGAGTTGCTGCAGCGGCCAGGGTTCGAATCTGACCAGTGGCCCTTTGCTGTGTGTCATCCTCTCTCCACCCACCTTTCCTGTCTCTCTACAGCTGTCTCTATAAAAAAAAAAAAAAACTTTTGTCATATTTGTTTAAAGTTCACTACGTCCTGACAGTAGTACATGAGACAGATAATGTGAGGTTCCTCTGTCTACCCTAGGAATGAGTCTCAACAATTAACTATATTTCTTGGATCTGATTGGTTGTTTTCATTCAGGTGCAGGGTTTTTTTGCAAATGCCATTAGGAGCACCAGGAGGACTCAGAGGAACCTTTTTTCCCCCACTGATTATCTGTCTCATGTACTACTGTCAGGATGTGGCGGTAGTCCACAGATCTCAGCTGGTGCAACCTTGTGGAAATAGGTTCTTTAATATCAAACTAGGTTTCAGTTTCAAAATGCTCAAAGTGACTTTCAGTCAGAAAAAAAAAAAACAGCAAAGAAATAAGTGCCTAAAGAGCATAATTTCTGGCTGACAGTATGTGTAAAGTAACATCTACAGTAAATCAAGGAGGGGTCAGAAATCCCCCACCTCTCTTACGTCCTAAAGACACACTATGATTGACCAAGAGGTGAATGCACCAAATGCTCTCAATCACTGTAGGAGTCGGTCCCTGCAGCCTGTGCAACAGGTGATCTGAATAACCCTCCAACCAGCTCCAAGGAATTTTTAACATTCAGATAAGATGAACTGGGGAAGAGGGAAATTAAAGCAGCAGCAGGTACAAAAGAATGAGGGACTGCTACAAGGATATAGTGAAAGTTTCAAATGTGACAAAAGTTATTTTTATAAAAGTTACCTACTGCAGCGTGAAGTGCTTTATAACAAAGTCTTTAAATCTCTACAGCACGTAGATTCTGTTTGCAGCAACGTGTAGGTCACATAAACATGCTGGGTCACAGTTCAGATCATTTCAGTGCAATCTCTCTTCATAGAAAAACAATGGCTTGCTGGCTGTTGATAACATGTACAGGCCTGAATGGGTCAGTCCATACATATAACAGTCATTAGTGTGATCCAGCGGATAGTTTGGGCTTTATTTGCTTAGGTTTTGATATCTGTCTGTGTTAAATGGAGTTCTCTTAATCACTCACTGAAACATTTAATTTAGAAAAAAGAATCAGCAGCAGCATCTATTTCCATAAACCTGATATGCTCCAGAGGTAAAACCAGAACCATCTGCATTTTTGTGTGTTATTGTAACTGGATGAGCTGAACTTTTAAGCTTGTAAAGAGCCTTATAACAATGGATTTACAGCCTTTACATAAACAGTGTTATCAGTGATGTGCACATCGCATAAAACTGTAATCAGCCTGAAAGCTCTCTGGAAGGTCATCCTCAAACTGGGTCACAGTTCAAATCATTTCAACCCGAGGTCGCAGGGAAACACTGGCTGTTTACAGGAACCTGATGTTGGTGCCTGCTTGCTGCAGGATCCTGGATCTCTCTCGTCTTATTTATTATGCCTATTCGGCTCGTTTTCCAGCTGTTAGCCTGCCACAGAACACTCTGATGGCCCAATAAAATACAGCGAATCGCAGTCTGCTCTGATCTTTATGGCCTCAAAACAAACTCTAAATACACTCCCAGCTCCACTTAACCCTACTGCTGCCGGACACATCTTCACACAGAGCGCGCACACACACACACACCCTGCCGCACACTTTGTCACATACAGGCCCGTAAGCATTAATGCAAATACAGACTCTTAAGAGCACTTCAGATGGAAAGGACATGGAATAATGTGTCAACTCGCATGCTAATAAACACTCAAAACATGTGGGCTGGATTCAGTTATTTTATTTATTTGTGTGCTTTTGCAGCTTAGCGTTGCCATGGAAACCCCCTTTGGTGGCCTATCACTGTACGGACTGTGGTCAAAGCTATCAATATATAGTATCTACTCCTCAGAGGGACGCTATCTCACTCTGTGTACACACACACTGTCAGACACATTAAATAAAATACAGAGCTGTCCCTGCACTTACATAACTCTCTCTCTCTCTCTCTCTCCCTCTCTCTCTCTCTCTCAGGGAAACCAGATCCTGAGCAGTCTCTCCCTGGACGAGTACAAGGCCACTCTGAAGATGATCGAGAGGGCTATTCTGGCCACTGACCTGGCCCTGTACATGAAGTAGGTACCAAATGTCAAGCCCAGATGGAAATCTGACTGGAGAGGGTTGGGGGGGCAGAAGGGAAAACGTCAGTTTGGGCAGAGGGAAAAGAAGGGAGGCTATTTTGGAGTATTTTGACTGGGTGCGATTACAGAACTGTTTCATCTCGAGAATACACAAAGATCACACCCGCCTCGTGCTTCCAGGATACTGACATGGTCTTTACTGCGGTTCACTCAGAGTCCCACACAATAAAACATAGTAGTTTTTACATTTAACCAGAGATTGTTCCTTTATAACAGCTTGAAACTCACAATTTAAACACATACAATGATGCACAGCTAGGCCTGTCTTTTGTTGGACGATATATTGTCCAAGAAATAATTGCAATAAACAATATTATACCCCTGATATTTTAATAAGCATAGCAGGATGTGCAGGAAATTTCCACATCTATTGAAAGATCATTTCTAGTTGTATTAAGTTTGCCAAGTTGTATTTCATTGTTTTCTCCCAAAATGTTAATGTTAGCGGTTGTATCCTTGGTTACAGGAAAAAACACACCTATCATTTTGCCAAGATTTTAACGATGTAAGGATAATAAAAATAATACATTTTTACTATTATCAAATGAACTCATTACCATTCCTTCACTCCCTCTTTTTTCATTTATCCACCTCAGTGATTTCCACTCTCATCTCATCCTTCTTTCAGTCTAGACAGTGGGTGGTAGAGGAGATACGTAGGTAGTTACATGGGGATAATTACCTGCTGTGTTGCTGTACGTGTGTGTTGTCAGGAGGCGCGGGGAGTTCTTTGAGCTCACCAAGAACAGCCAGTTTGTTTGGGAGGACGAACATCACAGAGACTTACTGAGGTGAGTACCGACCCTCCAAAACTCCAACACCCAGAGTGGATGTAAAGCTGTATTTCCACCGCATAGTGCGGCTCTACTCCACTCAGCTTTTGGAAACCTCTACTTCGTTTTCCACTGACAGTACCCCAATCAACATAGAGCTGATCGTCATAGCAACGCTATTCCAGCAGTTAGGAAACAACACATAGGAGCTTTACTTTGTTCTGGAGAAGATGCAGCCTTTATTTACTGACAAACTGTAACCAACACTGTACATTTACTGCCAAACTCACCTTTTCCTCTGCTCCATCTCACATTCACCACCACTCTCTGCTGCCCGCTCTCTCGCTCAAGCACACACAAGATACGCACACAGCTGCTACTCTGATAATAGAGGGTTGGTGTTATATGTCTGCATCAAATGACCACAACGTGGTTTTGCGGCCATTTTTGAGTTAATTTAAAATATTGTGGTCACTATTGATGGCAGCTTGGCATTAAAAATGGCGGGTTTGTGCAGGAAGTCCCATGTCGAGCTATTGAAGATTCCCTCTGACCAATCAGTGGTCCGGCGTGTTTTCACGTCACCTTTTAGCGTCAGCTCAGCTCGCGTTGAACCTTGACAGAGGCAATATCAAAACCAGTACCAGGTACTATCCACAAAACCAAAAAAGAGTGAGTAGAGTCGAGCCATACCATGCTGTGGAAATGCCAAAATATACTGTACAAGTTCATCAATAGGACTCGCACTTTGATTTTAAAGTAATCGTTTCGCTTTCCTTCCAAGAGTGAGATGAAAAGACTGATACCACTCTCACATCTGTGTGTTCAGTAAACAGCTGGAGTCAGGGTGTAGTTAGCCTAGCTTAGCATCAAGACTGGAAGCAGGGGGAAACAGTTAGCCTGTTTCACAGATATACCTACCAACACACTCTCTCTAGTCTCTAACTAAAACACAGGTTGCCAGGTGCAGTCAGTGAGCACAGGGTTTGGTTTTGGTTGCTGTACTGGCATAATGGTATTTCACTTCAGGGTTAACAACAGCTGGGGAGACTAAGAAATAGTTCCAGCACATAACTAGTGATGCCAAGTAAAAACCTGAAATTAGGTAAACACTGATTGGTCAAATTAATAATAATTAATTTATTAATTAAGTCCGGAGAGCAGCTGAGTGAAGGGCCGCCCAAAAAAATGCAGAATTTGTCAACAGGCACTTTAAAAAAAAGTTTCTTAAGGGATCATAAGAATCGACACGGCCCGTAACAGAGTCAGGCTAGCTGTTTCCAGTGTTTATGCTAGGCTAATCACATCTTGATTCCAACTCCATACTTAACACAAAGCAAATAATATTTCCCAAAACGTTACCTATTCCTTTAAGAGGGCAACTAAAAGTACTGTATATATGTATACATACAGTATGTATACAGTGTACAGTATGGGGTGTTATGACATTACTGTTTACTCAACTGTTCTTTATGAAGCAGTAAATAATGAATAAATGACAAATTATTGAAAAAACCGGAATATTACAGTTTTGTGCATTAGCTGCAATTCCCCAGAATTCCCCTCACACAGAAATGAATTAATAAACATCAAAATTTAAACTCGAGTTTATGAGATGCAGTGATTTTAAAACAAACCAGCTTCCAGACGCAGTTATTGACTCAGAACGGCTGGATGTGGCCTAATGCTATGAGGAGCTACCATTGACAGTTATCTGTGAGGTGTGGCTCTGTGAAGATCCATGTGTGTCAATGTATCTCCCCCTTCAGGTCAATGCTGATGACTGCATGTGACATCTCGGCCATCACCAAGCCCTGGCCAGTGCAAAAAAGGGTAAAAGAAAATCCCATATGGCTCTTTTTCATCTGCTTGTGTTGGTTGCACTACAATTTCCAGACTTCTCTGCTGTACATTATCCTTTCTCTTCAATTACTTCTGGTTTCTTAGTAATGAAAATTTGCTTTTCTTCTTCTTCATAAGCCATACAGTGTTTTTCATCCTTGCACAGCACAAAAAAACAAGATAATCAGTATGTGTAAAGCATTCATTTGGTTTTCTCAAATTGTTCTGTCATGTCTGTCTGGGCTGCTTATTGTCACATCGGTGGCACAGTGCACTCTGCTTTCTCTCACTCACTTGACACATATGGGAAGAAACAGAAGTCAATTATAAGGTACTGTCCCATAAAGTTTAGATTTTAAATGACAAATGAAAAACAATAAAACCACTGTAAATAAACTAAAGTGCACTGACTGAATGAAATAACTTTAAAGCTGTATATGTGTTGCCACTTGGCAGCAAAAGAATCTAAAAACACATCTTACACATTATCAGTGTATTCAATTGTTAAGGCTGGCATTCAGCAGACACAAATTCATTATACGTTGGTTCAGCTACAGTTTAGCTGTGCTAGTTTTAACGCAGCAGTCAGGCCCAGCACACAGCTGTATTTTTAAACCAGAGAAGTTCCAGTTTAGCTAAACTAGTTCTAAACCGCAGCTTAGCTAGTCACACGCTAAGTGACACAGCAATAGACGGTTAGTTAGAACAAGTTAGCTAGCAGTTGCTTATTTACACATCCAGGAGACACACAGCAACATTAGCATTAGTATGAACGTCCAGGATTCTTCTGTCAGCTAATTCCTGGTAAAAACCTTTAGCTGCTACATATTCCACTTTCACTAACTGTTGTGTGTCTGCTGTTTGGTGCAAGGTAGGTAGCGCACAGTGGGTTCATCATTGCTTTTTCTTCTGAAAACATCTGTCTGCTGCTGCTGGAAAACCAAAACAGTGAGAGCTGAGGGGAACTACAGAATTAGATGGTGATTTTCTGTAGCTTTATCAGTACAAGCAGCACTTTTCTTATTGCACATAGTCATTTGATCCATTGTTAATATAAAAATATTGATTAGTGCAGCTTTAAATTAAATTCCTTCAAAGATGAATTCTCTATTTTATGATAGTGTGCCCTTCAGGCCACACCCTAATCCGTGATGTGACAGCAGGTGCATCGCCTTTGGAAACTAATGAGAAACACCTGCTGTGACATCACTGATTGGGGTGTGGCCCGAGGTGCAACCTGCAGTGCGGAACTTGTCTCTTTTCATCTTTGATTCTGCCATTTCACACTCTGTTTACTTCTTAACACTCTCTCTCTCACACACACACGTTTTTGTTTTACCCTCACCCATCTCGAGCCGTGTCCCCGTTGTTTCATCTCCCCGCTGACCTTCGTTAGTCTGCACCTCGTTAGGAACCACAGGCACAGTGGAGAGAGGTTCAGACAGGGACACACTCTGTGCACTGTATGTGTGTGTGTGTGTGTGTGGTGTGTGCGTTGACAAGTGAGCGCTCATTAATAAGAACAGCTGTGCCCCTGTCCTCAGATGACACCTCTAAAAACATTCAGGGCAGTAAACATGAATACACATGCAAATATGTTCTTTCACTTAAACACACACACACTAGCACCTCATCCGGATCTCATTATCAAACTGTGCCTCTAAACTCAAAGGGAAGATTATTTCCTCTTCGTCTTCTAGTTGTTGGCATAGAAGCTTTTTTATTTGCATAATATTTTACTTTTGGGTTTAGTTTTCAGGTGAAATTTTAATCAGTTTTTTACAGTTTAGTCCACTGGATACCTTACCCAGGAAGTGATGACATGCCTTCCACCAAAAAGAAGTCTCTGGTACATAGATCCGTCCAGTATGCATGCTACTACTTCAGTATACAGTAGATTAAAGTAGTATTAAAAAAATGTTGCCCACTTGGGGGCAGCAGAACAAGCAATTAACACAGTATTGTTGTGTTTTTGGTCACATGATGAATGTAAGTCCAATAATCACTCTCCTTTTAGCTCTGTTGCTGAATGCCGCTTTAAGAATTGTAGCAACCTAATAATAGGATGTGGTGGATTTTGCCATTATTTGATTGCTAACAGTCTAGAGAATCAGGAAATGTTGGGATATGGTGCTATAGTGACATTGCTAAAAAGAAGTCAGACGGGACAAGAAAGAAGAAGTGTCATATGATACAGTATGATGTGATACGATTGTCCCCGTAGGTAATTAATCTTGGACCAAAAACCTGTACACATATAGCTGTCTCTTGTATTGTACAAACCCCTTAGTTTAGCATACTTATTTGGAAGTCTAATGACGGTGTACAATTATTATCCAACCTGTCTGTTCTAAATGTCCATTAAAGCTTACAGACTGACTTTCTGCTTCTGCTTTGACCTCCCAGACTTACTGCAGTCAAGTTTGGGCGTCCCTTGTTTTCAAATTGACCTCCAAATACAGTGGTTTAGCTAATCTTGATAAACTGTTGGTTTGTTTACAACTGATCGTCCCATGGGACTTGGTTAAAGCGATGTCAGCACATTTATTAATCTCCACACTTATGTTGGTGAGTACAATGTTGTCTCAACTGACAGAAATGATGCACAAAAGAGATTTCTCAGAATACATGACTTGGTTGGACTTGGTTTTGTTTTAAGTGGCCTGAAATGACCAATGAACCCAAAGTCCTATTTGCTTGACCATACTGTTCACGATCACATGGGTTAAGTGTGTGCAGGCATCGTCCAAAGTCCACAGTCTGAAATGCTTTCATAAATCCAGTAATAGATCTTTCTTGCTGTTGTTGGAAGTCTAATGAAGTGGCCCCTGACCACTGGAGTTTTTTTGACGTGGAGCTAACAAAAAAATATTGGCGTTTTGACTGACATGAGGTTAAGTAAATAAAGACTAAATGACTTAGCCTCACTGGTTAACATTTGCCTCATGCTTAGTGTTGGTTTTAGTCAGCTATAATAAGCTCTCTCTCTCTGGCTGAGTCCCCCTGCAGCTCTATAGAACTGAGCCTTGATTACAGACTCAATCAGTGAGCTGCAGATGGCTTTAACACACATACACAGAGTGATACTGATTGGAACCCGAGGCTGCAGTCACATCACATTTACGTCTCTGTAAACAGACGGAGACCATTAACTTAGAGGGACTACCACTCTTTTGGCAGACCTCTCCCTCTTTCTTACTCAATTTTACTTTGTCTTTTGCTGCTGCTTTTGTTTTTCCTTGTTTCTTCAAGCTGTCGCATGTGTTCTTTCTCGCCGTCTTTGTATATATACTTAGTCTATCTCCTTCCTTTCCAGTCGTTTCATAATGTTACAGTTTGGCAATGTTGACTCTGGCAGCAGGAGAAGCATTATGTCTTCACTGTGGTAGGATGTCTAACCTCGGCCGTAAAATCAGCCTCCTAGGATGTTCATTAAAATGCCTCCGCTGAAATTCTAGCTGTCGCAGATATGCCAGAGAGTTTCTGAGGTTAAGTACAACAATAGAGCAGCATTTTGATTTGCAAAGCTAAACCGTCATACATCCCACTGACCTGAAGTCACATCCAAATCAAACTGAGGATTTCATAGTGATGTTGACAGAGGAAATTGAGAAAACTTAAGTGTGAGAAGTGGAATCTGTGCAACCTTAACAAACTATATTTTCCTTGTTGTGATACATTAATAGGTTGCTTCTGTGCTGTCTCAGATAGATATAGCAGGAAACCCACTCTTAACAGTTTTTGCTTGTAGTAAATGCGTTTGGAAGTAAAAGTGTTTTTAGATATTTAGAAGTCCTTGCTGTGCTTTCTTTTTGTTATATTCTTGTTTCATTGAATTTTCAAATTAACTTGTGAAGATACTATATATGAACTCATCAGTGTCGTCTCTCTCATGCAGATTGCAGAGCTGGTAGCCACTGAGTTCTTTGAACAGGGGGATAAGGAGAGACGCGAGCTGAACATTGAGCCCAGTGTAAGTTCAGTCTGTCACTTCATGGTTACTTTTCTAATAAGTAAAAACATAACCTGTGGTGTGCCTCAGGGATCCATTTTGGGCCCTTTTATTTTTAATCTTCACATGCTTTTGCCTGGTTGTTCATCCAAAGACATGGCATCTCACTTAAGAACTGTACTGATGATATATAATTTTGTGTTTATGCACTTGCACTCATTTGATCCTGATATTGCTCTCTGTCATTTTTGTCTATCCTTTAACTTTAGGACCTGATGAATCGTGAGAAAAGAGATAAGATTCCCAGCATGCAGGTGTCCTTCATTGATGCCATCTGCACTCAGTTATATGAGGTAATTCAACCAATTTAACCTGTGGTAACTACACTTTCTGCTTCATTGAATTTTTTCTTGTTAAATAAAATGTCTTTGTCACTGTCACAGACCTTGGCTGGCATGTCGGAGTATTGCTCCCCGTTGCTGGAAGGGTGTCAGAAAAACCGACAGCATTGGAAGCGTTTGGCCGAGGAGTGCGAGAAGGGGCTGGTCAACGGCTTGGTGTGATCCCAACACCAGTTCGGCTTTCAGTCAACACCAATTTTCAGGGTTCGCCCTGTGCAACCTGGTCTCATAAAACTTCATGAAATTAGCATGATACCTACAAGGACAAATGAATTAATTTCCATATCAGGAAAAAATGATGTGTTGGGAAAACAAAAAGACCGAACAAAAAAAAGATTGGTTTGTCAGTGAAAGGGAAGACCCCCTGCCCTTCAACTTTAGAAACCTTAGAGCAGATTTTCTGACACTTAAAGAATAAATCCAGTTTCTTTTAATCTGCCTTATTTTTTCAGGCTTGTCCATCCTTCCTCTCTGTAATAATAAGGTTCTAATCACCAAGTTGAATTGCTCAGATCTGGGAATGTGGCAGCATCACTAAAGAAGACTAAGAACCATGCCAAGAAGTCAGTCACAGCAGTGGTTTGAGGTAAATGCTAAAATAAATTTGCTAACAGGTCTACAAAGGCAATGCTAACATGCTGATATTTAGGGTACTGTGGTGAGGTATTATACTATTATCACCATTTTAGTGTTAGCATTTGCTAATGAGTCCTAAACACAAAGTACAGCTGATAATGATGGAAATGTCATTAGCTTTACAAGCATTTAGGCAATATTAATTAATTAATTAGAATGAATTGTCTGGGAACCATGAATCAGTCTGTAAAGTAGATGTGGTGGACCAACTGACATACCAACATTGCCATCCATTGAGCCAGGCCTTAGCATTGCCTACAGGGTGTGAAAGTGGTGCAGTCAGCTAACCTGTGAGCAGACGCTCCGTGTTGTTAGCCAAGCTTAAAGCTAGCAAAACCTGAACCCATATAGTAAGTATATATATATATATATATATATATATATATAAAAATAAGGTGAACAACAAAATTGCTAGTCAAAATTTCTTGTGAACGTCCATCACGGTTTACTAGACCTACTGTACGTGCTTTAATTCTGCAAACTGTTTACAACTACTACTACTTTCTAATTATGTAACAGCTCATTTCTCGCCCTGCTGGACTTACATTGTTGTAGCAATGTCACCATGCTCCCAGATCTCAGCAATTACTTTAGTAAATAAATACCATAACAGATAGAAATGATGGCCAAAACTGCAAAAATCTGACCCAAATTGTCATATCCCTTAACATATATCCATAAACAAATTGTTACATCATCTGAATTTAACAAACTACTGAGACTGCAACTTTACGTTTATAACACATAATCCTTGTTTCAGAGGTCGTGCTCATTTCGCCAAGCTTTGTGAGACCCGTCTTCCTGTTGTCACCATTCTTTCATGGCTTTCACTCACCAGAGAAAATAACAGAGTCAGCACTAAGCTATATTTATTACCATAGCCATTTTTATTTTTGCACAGAGTGGCTTTCATCTTGAAGTCTCACTTACACTATCTCTCACAGGTAGTGAAACATAAGGGAACACTGAATGGTAAGACATAGATCCCTGGGGATCAGCACCATTCCAGTGGGATACAGATATTGTACTATATCTTTACATAGTGTCACAATAATCTGATAAGCTTGTTAAATATGTCTTCGTTCACAGCACACACACTAAAAGGGTTTTGAGTCTTTTGTAACATTTTTTTCACTCATTGTCTTAACTATTGCATATTTATTTTTGTTTTATATATTTATTAGAGTTTCTATATTGTATGTCATCCTTTTATCAAGAGCACACAATTCTTTATATAGGAAATGTAGTTTTCATACTTTAAAAAAAAAAATCCCATCTCTGCTTTTTTGAAGGACCTTTCGTAGTAACAACTCTTTCAGATGACATTTGGAAATGAAATGTTTTGTGTTTTTTTTTTTTTTTTTTCAAAATGTAAAAGAGCCAAAGACTAGGCCTGCAATTTCAAAGGGAAATGGGTCTAGATTTTTCCACTGCCTTGTTGTGATAAAATAGGACCAATTCACAATTAAAAGACAAAAAAACGTTTTGTCCACATGCTTTTCCGCTACAAGAGCTTGTTTTTTTACACCCATTTTTATATGGAGTAACGTGTGTTAGACTGTGGGCATCCTGACTAGACTGTGTGTGTTTTTCCTACTTTGACATCACTTGCAGCCAACAATGGAACGTAACTGACATAACTTTGCTAGAAACCAACCAATATGATGGCACGGGGTGTGATCTAGCTCTGCTACACTCATCAAATATATGGCAAATAATCATCATGACCTAAATTTTTAAAAAAAAAAAAAAAAAAAAAGGGTTTTAAAGGTTTTTTTTGGGGCCAAAAGTTTTTTTTTTTAAAAAAAAAAACCAAAAACAGAAAATGGGATGTTTTTCCTTTTTCCATTTTATTTTCAAAACAAAAAAATGGAGAACGGGTAGGTTTTTTTGTTGTTTTTATTTTCAAAACAATATATGGAAAACTTGTTGTTTTTCCATTTTCCAAACAAAAAACTGAAAATGGGTATTTTTCCCCCTTGGCCGCAAAGTACAACGACCAACAAGACTGTCTTAAAGGTTTCAGTCGATGAGTTTCAAGCCTGACTGTGGAGTGAGATTTGGTGTGAAGCTCTCTCCATATAAAGTCATTCAGAAAGTATCCAGGCTATATGCTGACACAGGTTATTTAAAGGTTAAAATCACACTCACATGGAGCAGAAACCACTGCTGCACTGCTGTCCAGTGGTTAATACTTTCTAGTGTATTACAGTTCTGGTGAGACATGGACAAACATAGAGCAGTGGTTCTCAACCTAGTGGTCGGGACCCCCCAAGAGCTGGGTCCTGACCAGCACCAGATGATTACAGGGATACGAAAGAAATCTGTAATACAAAGTTACTATTGTTTGTTTTCCAACTAATTTTTGTTTTTTTCTTTCCTTTGAATTAAACTATTGGAGAAATAAAATTGCTGCTTGGTAGAACTGCTCTCAACATGTCCACACTATAGGACAGGGTATCATTCCATTACTGTGTTTGAGCTGCAGTACCAGCAGGCCTGCAAACTCCAGTGGGATTTAAAAGGTGACAGGTATGAGAACAGAGCCAAACATCACGTTGCTTCTCTTCGCACCACTTTCAATTTCTCACCACCGCCACTGGGCTAGACGAAGCTTAAATGGTTGAAGGAACTACACACTAAATTATTACACATAGTCACGTAGGTTCTTGTTGGCACGTGATGTTAATAAAGCTGATTTTGTCCATTCTTGCCTCTCACAAATAGCTGCTGGTTGTGTTAACATTAGTAAGACTGATAACAGCTGAAAAATGTCCCGTCCTTTCAGCAGTAGATTCTCATGGCTGGTTAGCTCCGACTACCAGCTCTACATCTCTCCCATGCTACACTGAGCAGTGGTCTCCCATGTGTCTTTTGACCCTTTGGACAAGGTTACATTACTAAAGCTTGTTAAACAACATTTCAAGTTACAGCAACCAAAAACAGTTTCATTAGAAACAGGAAGGCAAGCAGGGTTGTGCCTAAAAGTGCAATGTCTGCCAGGTGCTATATTTTAATTTCAAAATGGTGATTAAATGCCAGCTTTTAGTAATTTTTGATACTTAGAACTTCCAGTTGGTAGCAAAAAAGCACTCAGGTTCACACTCAGACGCTAAAATGTAATGAGGGAGTCACAACTGGACATTTTAATGGGTCAGAAACCAAAAAGGGTTGAGAACCACTGCCATACAGAACAGTGCAGCAGCAGCTCTGTGTGCAAACGTACCCGAACTTCACACACCAGATGAACCAGTGGACACTGTCCGCTGAACACAGGATTTCACCCGCAGCTTTGAACCACACACCCATTTTACGAGACCAGTTTTCAGTTGGTTCATGTAAGAACTGATAATGATAATAAAGATATTGGTCCTTCTCTGGCACTTTTCACATTCATATGGTATAACGGTAGCTAAATAGTACTGCAGAGATAGCTAACGTTCAGCTACGTTTGGCAGGTGCAGTTCAGTAGAAAGAAAATAGTCCCTCAATGTAACCGGCTCATGATTTCTGGAAACAGACATTTTTCCAATGTATTTTTGGGGCTTTGAGCACCACAAGCCAACTGCCATCTGGTTGTATTACACTGGAAAGAAAGCAGACATCTCCAAAAACTCACGCCAAACCAATCTAGAGGGATAAATAGCAGAACAGGTTAGAGGACAAATATGTAGTTTTGATGTTGGGGTGAACTGTCCCTTTTCTAAAGCACTTTAGTAGACAAACATGCTCAGAAGGCTCATTTGTATCAGCGGTTGTGTTTTGTACTTTGACAGTCTCCAGGGCTGTAATACATATTCCTGTTACTTAACCTTTGTGCTTCTTTAAAAAGACAAATATCCATCTCCTGACTGCTGCAGTCTCTGGGGTTGTTTTGAATTCTGCTTGGCTTTTTGTTTTGTTGCATGCACATGAGAGGGCATTACACCCGAGAGAAAGGCTTCTTATTAGGTAAGAGACTTATCGGTGTCTACTGCAGATGAGAAAATGTAACATGCTGATATGGTACCATTATAAAGGTGTTCCATATCTCCAAACTGTCCACACCACTGAACACTGTGAGCCAAGTAAATGCTTTGTCCCATTTAAAAGTAATGTGTATTTTCTGTCTTCTGTGTATTGTTCTATAATTTGTACACTGCAGACGCATACACAATCACCCAGAACCACCCAGTAACTTAATGTTGCACTGCCACCTACTGGTCAAAAGGAGTGAAACCACAAAAAGAAACCTTTGTGAAAGACATTTATTTATAAAAACTTTAACATGTAAACCACTAGCTTCTAAAACAGAGGTTGACAACTTGAGAGAAAGGGGGACAGTTTAAAGAAAAGAGACAGCTGTTCCTGAGAGACAAATCACTGCTTATGAGAAATATTTACATCAGTGTAGACGGAGCCGTTTGCCGCCACATCCTTCTCAAAAAGACAAGTGAAGTTCAGGAAACGAAGGCAGGAGAACGCTGGGTCCTCAGTGGACAGAAGATTGGACAGAGACACAGACAGTGAGGTAGGACGGGGCGTGTAAAATCTACAGTTTTCTCTAAGCGGCAGTGGTTGGTGCTATGTACAGCTCATGGGGTGGAGGGATGGGGAGGGGACCCGGTTTTAAACCGAGTCGGTCCTCTTGTACGCCACCATGCTGTTCACCTTGTGGATGGAGGTGGTGAAGGAGCGCAAACGCACCTCCTCTGATTGGTCGATGATCTGCGGCCCAGAAATCTCCCACTTTTCGGGAACCGCCAGGTCTTTGTCCGTGTAGATGAGGAGGTCAAATGAACCTGGAGAGGAGGGGGCGAAGGATTAGTCCACTGACACTTTACACGGCCGCAAAGAGAGAGAGCGAGAGAGAGGAGAGAGAGAGAGAGCAGTGTGGTTACTCACATGGCGTCTCAAGAAGCGGCAGGAAGGTAACGGTGGCTGTTATCTGTCTGATGACAGAGCGGATCTCATCCTGAATGGTCTTAATGGACTTCTCTCTGGGAGCGCTGTGGAACACATGACAGCAGAGTTAAAGCTAAATACACACACACACACACACACACACACACGTGTAACAGTACATGTATTCATCCCACTCTGTTCAGTACAAGAAATTCAATGTGGTATCCTCTGTGACCCCCAAATAGATAGTCAGATAGTCTATTCATTACGTACGTAGTCGTATGTTATTGGAGCTATAGCTGATCAATACAAACTAATACAAAGGTGACTTCGGTGCTCCGTCTGAATTAATGAGGTGAGATTAATTGACAATTAAAAGAGTTGCAGTCCTAGCCTACACAAGGGATTCAATAGGAACAAGTGACATAAGGAATATCGCCAGATGTGTGACAGTGTGTGTGTGGCCCTTCAGATGGCTCATGCCTGCCACCTGCTGGAATCTGACAGGACTGTGACTACGATGACCACACAGAGACCCAACACATAAAGGAAAGTACTCAGACAGCATAGGGTCCGACCTGCTCTCCTTGGCCGACTTGTCACACTCGATGTCGAACTGCCATCTCTCCAGCACCTCGTTGGTTTCCAGACATGTGATCACCAGCACCAGTTTCTGCACTGTGCACTCAAACAGCCACTCTGCAACACACAACAAACACGCTCAGTTGTACCCCGACACCAAAAAGCCTGAATGGGTTCTAATGCAACACTACCTTTCTTCAGTCAGTGTACACACAACACAACACAACACAACAACACACAAAGCAGTTATATTCAGTTTAATATGATATAAAACAGGAAAGCTCTGTATTGTAGAGGCTGAAAACAGCAATTGTTGCATACATTTTTTTTATTATTTTTCTGTCAATCAACAAGAGTGTAACCAATGTGTTTTATTAGCACGGCAGGCAAACTGTCAGTAATGAATGAAATAAAGCAGGAAAACTGCTTCAGGTCTAAAACTCAGGCAGAGGTCTGATTCAGTCTCAGGGGTCTTTGGGGAGGATTCAGCAAAATGAAAATTTGAAAGTGTGTAAAATAAGGTGTGATATGGCCAAATGTGAGGCGTTCAGGTGTAAAGAAGCACTCCACTGAAGCTACCTTTGAGCTGAGTCACCACGTTGGTCAGGTAATTCTTCAGTTTGGAATCAGTGGTGAGTTGAAGGCTCATGTCATAGTGTGTGACTCTGGTGAAGGTCTCTGGAGGATAGATGCCCCGCTGGTACAGGATGCTGTTGATGCCGAATGCTGCGGTGGGAAGAGTGAATTAAATAGTTAAAACAAGATGAAAGTACAGTGATCTTCAATTTCAATAATATACCAAAACATACCACGTCTGATAACACTAAAGTACATAAAGTATAACTGACAGGTATATAAAAGAGAGATATAAAGGTATGTTGGAGTGTGTGCTAAAAATATATATATATATATATATATATATATATATTTATTTTTTTAGCACACACTCCAACATACCTTTATATCTCTCTTTTTTATATTAATTTCTTGGAACAGGTGAAAATATGTTATACGTCAAAATGAATTACAAAGCTCTAACTAACT